TTGGAGGTTCATGGGTAGTCATAGGTGGAGCTATACGTCCCCTAAGGTAGGTGATAACTCTTGTCTGGTTTAGGAGTTTAGGGTTTAGGGTTTAGGGTTTAGGGGTTTAGGGGTTTAGGGTTTAGGGGTTTAGGGGTTTAGGGATACCCTAAACCCTAAACCCTACGCTCCACTACCTATGAACCTCGAAGTACAGCGCTTTCAGAGGTCCGCCGGCCGGAGGACGTGGGCACACCCGACTCCGAGGCTAGGGGGAGGGGGGCGGGTTGGGCATATTCTGTCAGGGCTTCGGGTTTAGGGTTCCATAAGGGCTGAGGGCTTACGGTTCTAGAAGGGCTTTGGGTGTAGGGTTCTATGAGGGCTTAGGGCTCACAGGTCTATGGGGGCTTGGGGTTTAGGGTTCTATGAGGGCTTGGGGTGTAGGGTTTTGGGGTTGAGGGATTAGGGTTTAGGGTTGAGGGTTTAGGGATTCAGGCGTTGAGGGTTGTCTGTAGGATTTCTAAAGGTTTCTACAGGGTTTCTTCTGCAGGTTTGCCTTGGTGTGTACCATTGCATTTCGGTTTAGGGTGCAGGGTTTCGGGTTTGTAGAGCTTCTTTAGCGTTTTAACCTAAACCCTATATGCCCTGCAAGCCTCCAACGCCCGAACACACCCCAAATCCCAAATCCCTAAAGCCCCTCAAGCCCAACATCTCGCGCAGGCCAGAGGGCGCACACACCCCTTGAACTACGTGCCGCGCCAAGAATCCAGGGTTTCTTCGTTTCCTTTTGTTTAGGGTTTAGGGTTTAGGGTTTAGGGCTTTGGGGGTTATTAAACTACAAACCCTAAACCCTAAACCCATTTAAGGATTCAGGGGGGTTTAGGTTAAGAAGACCCCGGCCCCATGCTCGGAAGCCCTAACAAGACCCCTTTCAAAGCCGTACTTGCAGGTTCATGGGGTAGCTGTTAGTAGGGTCATGCCTCCCCAATCTAGGTTATGAATATAGATAATGTATGGGCCTAAATAATTACCAATACTATTTTTGGTAAGCCTCAGGGTTTACGGTTTAGGGTTTAGGGTTTAAATAAGCCCCCATTAAGGGGCTCTTTAAAGGGCTAAAAGGCCTTGCGATGAGAGTTCTATGATATAAGGGGCCTTCACGTTTAGAGCCGGGTTCCCTTACTGGAGAGCTTGTGGTCCTGAGTACGGGCAGCCGGTATTAAGTAGCATTGATGGTGGCTTAGGGTTTAGGGTTTAGGGTTTAGGGTTCAAAATCCTGCACCACCCCACAAGTAGCCCAAACTACGGTTGATGATATAAATCCTGCATTATCTTAAGGACCCTAAACTATGGGAACTATGGTATATTCATCGTTATGGTTAATGCAGGATTTGTATCATCAACCGTATGGCAACTATGGCGTGTCCCCTGGGATGGATGACGCAGGATTTCCCTTAAAGCCTGCAGCAGAAACTCCGAAGGTACAAGCGCCTAGACCTAAAAGCCCCTAAGCCCCTAAACCCTTAAGCCCCGAACCCCAAACCCTAAACCGTAAGCCCCAAACCCCAAGAAGCCCCAGGCTGCATAGTCAGTCGTATAATCCACCCTCTAATTCCTTACATAGTTCTCCTATCTTATGTCTCCCCAAACCTGTTCTGATATTAAAGGCCCCTGTCATCAAACCCTATCAAGCTTTCTTGAACCCTAAACCCTAAACNNACCCTAAACCCTATACGGAAGGAGACTTTACAAGTCGGTTACTTTACAAGGAAGCCTCGAGGGATCCACTTTCTGGAGGCTCCCGGGGTCTGGGTATGGGCCTCAAGTGCCCACCTTCGACCCGGGTCCTCTTTTAGGGTTTACGGTTTAGGGTTTAGGGTTTAGGGTTTAGGGGTTTAGGGGTTTAGGGTTTAGGGTTTAGGGTTTAGGGAGCCCTAT